TATATACACATATATATACACATATATATACACATATATATACACATTCATATATATTCACACACACACACACACACACACACACACACACATACATATATACACATATACATATATACATATATACATACATACATATATACATATATACATACATACATATATATATATATATATTTGGAAGAAGAAGATATGAGCACATTCTTTTATGAAGACAAGAATGTGCTCCACTAATGGTGCGTGTACCCAAAGGACGAGTTACAGTTGTTGACAAATTATATAACACTTATATCTGCTTACAAGTAAATTATGTGTTTTATCAAATGTGTGTTTTTGCTGCTAAACGCTAAACAGGATGACTTAAATGTAAGAGGTAAACAGCAAAAAGATGAATTCCTGAACATTCTGCACAATCATGGGCCTTTTTAAACAGTGGTTTGACTCGGATATAACTAATGACCTACTAATAAGTCAAAATCTACTTCAACCATCTCGTTGACCCGTTCATCATGTAGAAACACGTTAAGTGTGTGCCGAAAATCAGTCGTGTTTGAAAGAGGTTTCTTTTAAATGCATGCTAAATTCAGTGCAACCACTGGCCCCACAGCTCCCGTATACCCCAGTGAGCCAGGCCTTCTGCCCACTGTGCAACCTGCTGATTTTCATGCCTCACAGGAGCAGAGAAGCAAAGCATCCCGTCAGTTCCCAGCAGGCCGGCTAAGCAGCTTACAGATACTCATCCCTGATCGCCAGGCTTAGAAACCCTGGCATTCTGTCGGCGTCTTCAACTAGCTGGATCAATTAACAAATGAGCAGCCATCGCTGTGCCGCAGTCTCTCTCTCTCTCTCTCTATGTGTGTGTCTCTCTCTCTCACACTCGCACTCACGTCAAGTAAACTGGCAGGACAGGGTGCTTGCAAGATGCCAAAAAGGTAAAGAATGAATGAATCTGCGAGAGACATCTCATCTTGTCATCTGCAGTTTCATTACTGGGTACGATGCCACAGCATCAGAGGACAAAAATATGTACTCACACTTTGGAAATGCAAACAGTTACCATGGCAACTTTGATATCATAATCACACAACAACACAGACGATAAGACTGCAACCTTCAGGGGACGTTAACAGCAGATAATTCAATCGAGAACCAATAAAGAGGCATAATGTGGAAACATTTGAATGTACTGTGCAACATTATTGTTTTTTTTTTTTTATTTCGTGCGGAAATGATCTGGCAGGCGTGACACAACCTGTGAGACCGAGTGCAAAAAGCTCAGCTGCCAGCCTGACGAGGATATCCGCATACCAGCGATAGGAGCGACACGACAAGACAGGTCGATAGCCACAGTGACAAACTCATGAACGCGCACAGTGTGAAAATTTTCGATACACGGCTACACAACCGCACACACGCCAGCGAGCAAACTCTCAAAGGCTCGTCGTTGCTGTATCAATATTTCCCGGCTCGCTTCGACCCTGCCCGCGTCCCTGGTTGAGAGAAAACAATAGTTCCTCTGTGGGGAGGTGAGCTCAGGTTGATCTGTACCTGTAGCTGCAAGCTCAGCGACAAGCAGCCACATGCCCGCTAGCTTAAACTACTGAGTCACAGGAGGGAAAGCATCGACTTGGGTGCATATGAACAGACTGTCCCCTGAAGTATGACATCGGCTTGTGTAGATGCATCGACTGCTTGTGTAACAGAAGCGATGATACACCCACACAAGTAGAGAAAGAGAAAGACAAAATGTGGGGAGCATGGAAGAAAAAAAAAAAAAAAAAAAAAAAGTGGAAGTTGGCAATGTTGAACAGAGAGAACAAGAGAGGGAGGGAGGGAGAGAATGGAGGTGGATGGAGAGAAACTGAATCACTGGTGAAGGTCAAGTCGGATTCACTACGGGTTGTCATGGAAGCAGGATAATGTTAGGGTCGTTGCCATGGGAGAAGTTGCAAGAGGAGGTGCAGCGGCTGTGAAGCGTTACAAAACACTGTTCAAAAGATCTCCACCCCTACTATCAGCTAGCATCACAACAGCATCTACACTTCCCTGGGGAGGAAAGTGGAGTGTTTGTGTACAGTATATGTGTGTGTGTGTGTGTGTGAGTGAGAGACTAAATACATTGATGGTAATATCTGCTTACCTAGCATGCCAAGTCATAAGGGATCCAAACAAGTGGCAGGTATAATGGGGGAGCGGCATAAAGTGCCAGACGTAAATTACAGCTGAGAGTCTGGGTGGCCATGCGTGCGTGTTTGTGTATATGTACATGTGTGTGAGTACACAACATCTAAAACACACTTGATCTGTTAGTCTCTCTCTCACACACACACACACAATGATTTTGTAGTTTTGTGAACTGATAAACTCAGTTTGAACTCTTTTCCCACTTTGCCCATTCAAATAGCCTCTCACAAGAGAAAACTATTGATATGCAGTATGTATACTAAAAAGCTCCGCCATCACAGCTGTTCAACCTACTAACCCAATATAAGTGAGCAATGGTGTCATGCATTTAGGCCATAATGAAGGCTTAACAGCAAACATGTACGACTGGTCAAAGAGAAGTGGGCCACAGTGCTACTGCAAGTAGTCTTTGCATTTATTTTAAGAAGGTCTCAGGTAGGTTGCTGTGCATTGTCTGGATAAGACTGTATGTAGCAAATCCAGAAAATCCTGGCCTCTTTTTAACTAAGCCACTGTTCCACCAGCCTAAACCACGCAACACATCTTATAACGGCAAAAAGCTGACACATAACGGAGCAGATTTGTATACTCTGAGATGAACGAGTAAGTCTGTTGTTTAAAATCTAACAAAAGATAGCATAATAGCTATTTCGTTACTAGTTTATTTAGAGCTCAAACAACATATGAGTCTTGAGTTGCCAACGCCTGATGGGACGGGAGATGTAGTTTTTCTATTTTGAGTTTTTGAACAAAAATGTTTAGGTGTTTAACTTAGTATTTCACAATAGGTTACATCAAATACTTTTATCCCAATTACCTCGAGTAGGGACATAAAACACAGGTGTCACACTCAATAACTGATGAAAAAAGCCAATTCAGAAGTGGAGCAGGACTTTGGGCTGAGGCAAACAGAAAGCCAACATAAGACTAACATTTTACAACATGTCGGCTCTACAATTCTTCAATTCCTGCACCCTTATTATGCAAAAGCTAAATAGCTGCATAGCTGATATGTCTTAACCTGCTGCCTGTTACCTTCCACAGAGTTGATGAGTGGTCCAGAGCATCTTAGTTCATTAATCCTGTTGCTGGGGTCATGAACTGTAGCTGGTTGTACACTCCATAAAAA